ACCGCCCAGCCCCGGATCCTAGATTCCTGATGTCCTGCTGTCTAGCGCAGCCTGAACCGGATGGCTTTCTGTCTTTCTTGGGTGGAGCATCTTCTGAGTGAGAATTTCAGCACATGGTTTTCTGATTGCTTTCCCCACTGTGACCTGTTATTATCGCCACTTTTTTTTTTTTAAAGACTTATTTATTAGAGAGCACAAGCGGGAGGGGCAGAGGGAGAGGGAGAGAATCTGAAGCAGACTCTGTGGTGAGTGTGGAGCCTGACGCGGGGCTTGATCCCACGACCCTGAGATCCCGACCTGAGCTGAAACCAAGAGTTGGACACTTAACCGACTATGCCCCCCAGGTGCCCCTATTACCACTTTTTTAATATGAACACTGTTGACAGACTATATTCAGTCAGGCTTTGGTGTGAGTACTGGGTGTGGCCAGAGGATGACCTCCCTGTCCAGCAGCCGCCCACCCCCTCTGCTCTGCTGAGCACACACCCCGGCTGCCTGCAACCCTGTGGGGTTTGGAGCCGGGAGGCCGGCTCAGGCCCCAAGCCCATCACTCACTTGCTTGGGATGTTGGCAGGTGCTTCGCTTCTCTGAGCCTGCTTCCTCATCTATATAGAGTGGGCCCGTGAGAACAAGCAGGGGAGAAGATGCAGAGGAAAGCGCTTGCGGATTGCTACCCTGTCAGCTTCACTCGGGGCAAACACCATCCAAGTCTCTGTCCGAAGTCTGTTTCTTTTCCATGCAGGTCACCTTGAGCCAACCAAAGCTCTGATCCTCCCGGGGCAGGGGCACATCCAGGGCTCCCCACTCTGGCTGCTTCTTGGTGCTGTCCTCTGTGGACTTGATTCCTCAACTCCGGGCCCTGCAGGTGCCAGCTGGCTGCCAGCCCCCTCCCACTTTTGTAGGTTCTTTTATTGGGAAGAATGGCAGGCATACTCCGTGCCTTTATCGCTCTCTTTTTCCTAATGCTGTCTTCCAAAGAGACTTCTTAAAGGCTCACTCTGATCTTCTGCAAGGTGTTGGGGAGTTCATCATTTGCAATCTTAAAATAAGGGAGCTAAATTTAGAAAGTGTGGAGCTGGAATGAAAAGAAGTGTGGGCTGTGCCTTCCACCCACCTTCCCGGGGCTGAGTGCTTACCTTTACCCTCACCTGTGACTCCGGGAGACAGATCTGAAGCCTTCATGGGAGAAGAGCGGTTTCATGTCGAGGTGTCAGTGTGTGGCTGTGTGTGCTGCCAGGCGGAACTGACGCTCGAAGCCCCCCGCTAGGTGGCCACACCCTGCTGTCCAGTTTAGGAGACTGCAGCTTGGAAGACCATCTGACTCTGAAGTGTGCTCTTCCCCTCTCGGAAGCTTCCTCCAGCCTCACCTGTGGCTCCCCGTGCACTGGGACAGCCAACTGGCATGGGGAACCCTGGGAATCTCATCAATGTCCCTAGGCTGCAGAAGGGGAAACTGGCCCAAGGTCACATGGCCAGGGAGTGGCAGAGCCAGTGGGCGTGGAGAAGTGTGCATGGGTTGGTAGGAGGGTGGTGGATGCACAGATGGGGGTGGGGCAGGGGCTGGAGGAGGGAACCCCACGCTGCGGCCTGGCAGGCTGCCTGGGTAGATGGGGCTAAGAAAGTAGAGGGCAAGGCCTCACCATAGCCCGGAAGTTCCCATCTAGCAGAACACTCAGGACAGATCCAGAGGGAACCTGTGGGCCCCCAGGCTGAACCCTCAGGCAGGCACATGGAAGCATAGAGCCATTTCTGGAACTCCCCAGCTATCACACATCTGTGCCTTTCCACAGGCTGTTCCCTTTGCCTGAAATGCCCAATGAACTCTTATTCATCCTTCAACACCCAGCATGAGCCTCCTCCTGGAGGCTTGCTTTCTTCCCCCTGGAGCAGTAGGGACCTTTGCCTCTCTGGATGGCCCTGTGCTTTTGAAGTCTTGAGCCTAAAGTCACACCATCTGCCTCCCCTCAGCCTCTGAATTTGTTGTGGGCAGAATAAGGATTCCGTGGCCAGCACAGGGCTGGCAGAATAAGGATTCTGTGGCCAGCACAGCCAGCCTCATTATCAGGAAGAGGAGGGAAGCACCAAGTCCCCACCAGGGGGTTCTGAGAGAGTCACTGACCAGAGCCACCTACACTCGTGAGTCCCAAGGTCCTGCCGAGCTTGTTTTGAGCCAGGGGAATTTGGGAGAAAACCAAGTTTTTCCAGCTCAGCCCCACAAGAAGTGGTTTGGGACTGCTTTACATAGCATCCCATGCCAGCCCCCACTCAAGGTGGTGTCAGCCTGACCCTGCTATTCAAAAGTCATGTGATGGAACTCTAGACATCCCCCCCCCCCACTCTGTGTGGCCAGGCCATCCCATCTTTGTAGGCTACCTGGCTCTGTAGCCAAAGAAGTCTGAGCAGGGCCCTCTGGGAACAAGACCCCCTCGGAGCCCTGACTGTGTCTGGTTTTGGAGGCCATGGCAGGGCAGCTCTGTGAGGTCTGGAGGCTGCCCTAGGGGCGCCACAGGCTCTGAGGTGATGATGTGGGGGCTGAAGTCCTGAATCTGAGAGGGCCCTCAGGGTCCCCAACCCTGCTACCCAGGGCCCGGCACTTCTGATTCCATCGACCCCGAGGAGCTAGAGCCAGGCAGGACTTTGGTCACTTAGAGGAGGGAAAGCCGAGGCCAGGAAGAGGCAACCCCCACCCCCATTCACACAGCTGATGTGTGGGGCTCACGAGATTTGGGTTCCCCTCTGGGAACACCTCTGTCTGCTGGGTGCCAGGGGCCACGTGTTTCTCCCTGCACCCTACCAGTTGCTCCCCAGCTCATTCAGGGTCGCTTCCTGTCTGGCCCGCGAGGACACAGCCCCCAGAGGGGAGCTGACTCCCAAGCCTCTCCCAGTTCCCTCTGCTTGAGGATAATGCTTCCTGGGGCACATTTCCTGGGGAGGGGGATTGGGCCGGCGCTGGGCTCTCCTGCAGAGGTAGGTCAAGTGCTGGGATGCTGGGAGCCCCTGCTGATGCCCACCCCCCTTGGGGTCCCCTGGCAAGAGGCAGACCCACCCTGGGTCTACAGGGAGCCGAGTGAGCCAGGCCACTTGAAGGCCTGCGCCCAGAACCGGCTAGTCTCCAGCAGGAAGGGCCTAGGACCTTGGAGGGAGCAGACATAAAGCCCCGTGAGGAGTGGCCTCCATCCTAGGCCTTGCAGAGCCCCACAAGTAGATTTTCAAGGACACTGATGCTCGTGTGTCTGAGATAAGACAGGCTCCTGAAGAAAGGAGGCAGCCAGAGCAGGAACCAAGAGAAACACATGAAGGAATGCCAGACCCTATCTGAACCGGCTGTGCCCATGTGTTCAGGGAAATAAAAGGCAAGCTAGAAAAGATCTCCTGGGAACAGGACACTGTTGAAGTGGCAGCGTAGGTTTGCGAGACAAACAGAACATCCAGGAATGGACAAATTAATGGAAAACTACAAACCCAGTGGCTGTGTTTGGTGGCCACGTGGACAAAGCAGAGAGAACTCGTGAAATGGAAGGCAAATCATGCGGGCTGAGCTCAGGACATGCAGGAGGGAGGGCAGCAGGCCCAGAGGGTGTGGTGAGAGGGGCTGCTAGGGGTCTAAGGCAGTCCCAGGAAGAGAGGAAACAGAAAACTAAAAAAACAAAGTTGAGAATTTTCCAGAACTGATGAAATACACCAATCCACAGATACAAGACTCCCTTTGAATTCCCAGGAAGGATAAATGCACAACTAGACACGCCTCAGGGAAACTGCAGACAACCAGAGGGATGATCTGAAGGGGCCGGAGAGCAGAAGGGCAGATTACCATCGGAGGAACAGCTCCCCACGGACGGACGGACGGACAGGCATCCCCACACCAAGAGGCGGCCAGGGACAGCGCCAACAGCGTCTCCATGTGTGTGTGTTGGGGGGGGGAAGACCCCCCACTACCTCCCTTCCCAGTGAGAACACCCTTTGCAATGGGGCCAAAGACGTTTCAGAGAAATGAGAGCTGCTCTGAAGGAGAGCCTCAGGAATCTCCAGGAGAAGCCAAGTCTGAGAGCCGAAAAAGCGTTTCCCCTTCCAGAAACAGGGAGGGGAGCGGAAGGCACATTTAGAAAGGGCAAGAATGCCTAGCGGGTTGAAACAGTGGAAGTGCTTGGATGCTGCACAAGAGGCTGGGGTGGTGGGGGGACGGGAGGGGGCGGCAGCCAGGGCCACACGTCCTGGTGGTCAAAAGGCAGTGGGGAGAAGAAACAACCCGGAGCCAAGTTCTTTCCACCGATGTCTTTTATTAATGAACAGAAGTACAGTACTGAGACAGGGCATGCATCGCAGACAACAGGAGAGCAAGCCACAGAAACCGGGAGTTGGAGGGCCTCATTACGTCTGAGGTAGAGCGAGGTGGTGCCGGGGAGCGGGACACTGGGGGGCGAGCACCGGCCCCACTCGGGACAGTGGACCACAGGAGAGCTGGGGTGGTGTATCGGTCACACGGCGAAAACAGTTTAAAAACATTTCACATCCCTCCACCCATTCCAGTTCCCCTCTTCGTGGACAGAGTTTCGGGTTCCCTGGTCACCGGCCCACTGGGGGTGTCTCCGCAAGACACCGTCCTTCCCCTCCCAGGGGCAGGCCCCACTTGTCCTCCCCCGAAAAATAAAGGAGCTTTGTGTTGAAAACGCCAAGGCTGCCATCCAGGGAGCTGGAGGCCAAGTGCGTTAAGAAAGACCCTTTTTCTCTATAAAAATAGTTTCACTTTATAAAAGGGGGGAAATGCTCATCTCAAGTGGGGAAGGATGTTGGGGTGTGAAAAACGTTCCACCGTGGTGGGGCTGGGATGGACAAGATGCTTTGGGGAGGGAGGGGACCTCCTCTCAGGCTCGACTGGGTTGGGTGGAAGAGAGGGTCCTGGTTGGTGGCGGGGGGCTGGGGAGGACGGGTGACTCGGGGAGAGGCGCGCTGTGCCCTCGGGGCCCAGGTGGGGTGGGTGGCTGCGGCCTGCAGGCAGGCGCTCAGTTGAGCAAGGTTCCGTAGAGCTGGGCTTTCGTGAGGCTGTCCTTGCGGCTGAGCCCCGAGCCACCAGTCCGCGGGAAGGCTGGCTGGGGGCTGAGGCGGGCAGCGGGGTGCATCTCCGGGGAGGCCTCCATGGAGCTGGGCTCCAGGGAGTCCCTGGAACTGTGGGGGCTGTGCTCGGGCTCAGGGCTGCCGCCCGCCCCGCACAACTGCACCCCGAGCCTCTCCGCGTCCCCCTGGCTGGGCGCATAGCCGGGCAGTGGGTCGGCTGCGCGGCCGGGGCTCAGGCTCAGGTCGCCGCCGGCCCGGAGGAAGCGGGGCTCTGCCAGGTGGCCCTGGGAGAGGTCGTCACCCTCCGAGAAGCTGTCGGCCTTGTAGGTGGCATAGAGGGGGCTGGCGCGGCCCTCGGCCTTCTTGCCTGGGCTGCCCCCACTGCCATAGTAGCGTTCCGAGAAGCTGCAGGGTGAGGCGCGGCCGGCGGTGGTGGCTGGGTAGGAGTAGGCGCCAATGTCCTCCACGCTCAGGGGCCGCCACTGGCCCCGCACGTCCTCCCCAGGGAGCCGGGATGCCCCCGGCTTGGCCCGCAGGCTCCACAGGTTTGGGGGCATCAGGGCCTGCTGGGGGCCCGGGGAAGCCGGGAAGCGGAAGGGCTCAGTGGGGTACGGAGACATGGTCCGCGCAAACCCCGGGGCCACCTCGGCCTCGAGCGGCGCTGCCACGCTGGCCGTGGCCTTGGCGAAGCGCGGGCTGCCCTCGTAGGCAGCGGCGGGCGGCTTGCGGTCGAAGAGCTCGTCGCGGCTGTTCAGGTAGATGGCCTGCTGCGAGGCGGTGAGCGTGCTGGCCTGGGCGTGCTCCTTCTCCTCCGACGTGGCGCTGAAGCTGGAGTAAGAGCTGGACGTGGGCAGCGAGCCTGCATAGCCCGGGAAGGCCTCATGCTGGAAGCCTGTGGGGAAGGCGGCCGCCTCGGCCTCCTCCTCCTCCTCGGCCGCGCTGTCGGTGGAGTTGTGGGCCCGCAGGAAGCCCACGTCGGTCACGGGCGCGTCCACGCTGGGCCGCCGGGTGCGCCGCCGCTCCTCGGGGCAGTAGAGGGCCGTGTCGCTGCAGTAGATGTCCCCCTTGTAGGGGGGCCGTGGGCCCTGCTTCTCCATCCCATCCCGGAAGGCCAGGTCGCGGGCTGAGGCATCAGACAGGCGGGAGGACAGGGTGGTGGGGTCAGGCTTCTCCAGCACCTTGGCAATGACGCAGGTGGGGACACTGTCGGCATAGGCCGGACGGCAGAGCGGGGAGGGCAGGCTGCAGCCGTGCTTCTCCATGTGCAGGCTCACGCGCTCCTGGAAGTCGGAGGGCAGCTGGTCGGGTTGGGGGGGGGGGACGGGAGGGCAGGGACAGGGGTAGCAGTCAGCCCGGCACCTGCCGCCCTGACCGTGACCAACAGATGCACACACGGAAGAAGAGGGACCTGCCCAGGGCTTCTCAAACTGCACCGGCGAGAGCCAGCACCCAGGACTCTCTATGTCACAAGCTCCTGAGACTTGCCTGAGGACCCTCGGTCACCTCTGTCTCCCCAGCCCACAACAACTGGGCCTGAAGAGCCCAGAGGGTGGAACCAGGGTCTGACTTGGGCCCTTCTCGGGGCTGCAGCCCCCCTCATTTCCTCCCACCAAGAGGCTTACTTGCTCTCCCAGCCCCGAGGTCTGTCGGGGGCACCCCTGCTGGGTCATGAGGCCTGGGTGCTCCTGAACAAGACAGACTCAGATGCAACACAGACTCAGGGCCAGGTGCCCAGCGGCTTCTGCACCAGCCCCTGGTGCTTCATGGGGCCGTCCCACTACTGTTTGATCTATTTTGTGAGTGTCTTAGGCATGGCCCAGGCCCAGGGGAAAGGGGACACGGAAGGCCAAGGTCCGGGTGAGGGCAGTGCGTGGAGCTGGGGCAGCCTGGCAGGGGTGGGGGGCCCTGGGGCCCTGGCTGAGTCACCCCCATGTTGGGCTCACTCTGCCCCATCAGTGCTCAGTGGACTGGGGGCTTGGAGCAGGGACAAGGAGCAGCCCCCAGAGGAAACCAAGGGGAATGGGCAGGCTGTCCCAGCTGGACGAGGAGGTGTGTGGGGGGGTGGCCCTCCACCATGTTCAGGAAAGCCAGGATACTTGCAGGAGTGAGGAGGGACGGGGGCTCCAGGCTCACCCAGCGCCTTCCCCTCAAAGGGGAGAAGTGGCCTTGGGGTGGGACCTGTAGAAAAGGAGCCCCGAGTAGTCCTGGGGTGAGGGCTGGCCTCCCTGGGGCGGGGCTGACGTTACCTCGGACGCCTTATGGACCCTGCCGTAGGTCTGGCTGCACTGCAGCAGCTGGGCCGCTAGATTGCAGTCCTTCCTATAGAGCTCCTACAAGACAAGAGAAGGCGTTTGGTGCAGGCTCGCCCCTCGCCAAGGTCCCTGCTGCCCGGTGCCCAGGGGCCAACGCGGAGACCAGCTGTGGGGGGAGCTGGCTGGGCAGGACCCTGTCTGGGCCTCAGGCGCTCGCCTGCACACCGGGGGCCTCGGTTCTGACCTGGAGCCGCTGGGGCAGAGCGGGCCCTGCCGGGCACTAATGCTGCCGCCCCAGACGGGAACCTCCCACAAGGCGGGGGCGGTGGTGGAAGAAGGGCCTCCAGTGGCCCCTGAACTCCCGGAGGCCCCAGGCGTGGGGAGCATGCCTGGTCTTCCTGTTCCCCCCTCCCAAAGCTGAGAGTACCGGCACCAGCCAGTGATAAGGAACGTGCCCGCGGCCCCTGCCTCCCCGTGTCTCAGACTTGCTCCGCACACCCCCCTTCCTAAAGTGTGGCCTGCTTATGGGGGTGGTTGCAGGGCTGGGTGAGGGGCAGGGCGGGGAGGGGCAGAGGGCCTGTGTGACCCAAGGTCCGGGCAGGGACGGGCTCAGCCTCCTGAGCCGAAAACAGATGCAAACAGTAGGACTTGAGAGGATTTGCTTTCATCTTTGGAAAATCTCTGTTGCATGTGCCTGTGGTTGGGCCTTTCACTCCTGCCCTCCAGCTGGGGGTCCTCTGCCGTGAGGGCTCTGACAGTGAGGAATCTGGGGTCCACCAATGGGCCCCGAGACCCGCCTGCTCCCCCCAGTCTCAGCTCAACCAGGACCAGGTGTTCTGCAATGGAGACGGGCTACGGAAGGCATGGGCACCGCTGCCCCCTGCCCCCACCCCTGTTCCTGGAGGCTCCCCGACCTCCACCATCTGTGCTGAAGCTCGTGCCCCCAGCTTGGCCTGCCAAGTGGAGAGACACTGGGTCCCCAGCCTCCTCAATGTCTCGAGCGCCCTGGGAAGGGCACAGTTGGCCGAAAGCTGAGAATGGACCACCCGTGAGGTCCCAGACCCGCTGCCCCTGGCCTCAAGGGGCTGTGAGCACTGGCTGGCCAGCTCAGAGCCGCCACCACATCCCTCGCAGACCTCCAGCGCGGCCCCGGGCCCTGTGCGGGGCCTCCCCCTCCTCTGCCTGCACTCCTCTGCCTCCTCACTGCACCTGCACGCTGATCTCCGCCCTCAACTCCAGACCCTGCCGTCTGGGCATGCCCTGCAGCTGTCCGATGCCCCGTCCAGCCCCACTCCTGCTCCTCCCCAGGCACACACCCCCCCCCCCCCAGGAGACGGCAGGTCGCTTCTTTCCTTCGGGCTCTGAACCCTGCAGTTGGGTTGGACCCTTCTCTTCTCCCACACCCCATGTCCAAAATCCCCGTTAATGCCGTGGGTTCCATCTTCGAACCAAAACCTGAGCCCTTGTCCTCACTGTCTGTTCTCGGTGAGCCCAGAAAAGCGTAGGTCCAGTCATGTTACTCCTCTCTTCAGGAACCTTCCGTAGCTCCCTACTTCATTCAGAATAAAACCCAGATTCCTAGAGGATCCTGCACCGTGTGGCCTCTTGTTCCATTTCTGACCTCAGACCTTGCCCTGCCCCGCCTCCGCCCCCAGGAGGCCCCTCTGCTGTTCTTGCAGGCCCTCCTCTGCCACTCCGGTTCTTTCCATCAGAAGGAAGGCTCTTCCCCAGGTGCCCGTGGCCACCTCTCTGGCCACTTTCAGGTCTTGATCTAGCAGCCTCTTCCAGAAGCACCCGAATGACTCCCTAGCACCGTTTGCTGTGTTGTTTCCCCTGTAGCATTCAGCACTTCTAACATGCTATGCGGGGTGCGTATCTATCTTGTTTGCTGTCTTCCCTGCTCAGGTGTAAACTCCACGTGGGCAGGGAGGGGTTTTGCCCATCCACACCATAATCTCACAGCCTCAGTGGGCCTGGCAAAAAGCAGACACTCCTTAGTGAATGTGTGGTCAGCTGTCAGGGGTCCTTGAGTGGGGCTGGGCCCATCTCATGGGGCCCTTGAAACCAGAGCATCCGCATGGCTCTGATGCCCACAGGGGCTGGCTGGGGCAGGAGCAAGCATGCCCCAAACCTGGGGTCAGGAAGCACCGCCTTGAATGGGATAATATGGCCCAGGGGTTGCTACCTCAAGCCCTGTTTCCTTCCAGCAGAGGGTCTTCCTGAATACCCTTGGCAGTGTATCCCTGGTGAGGTAGCCCTGTCCTTCCACCTGGCCTGTACCAGCCCCTGAAGCCTGGAGGCCACGGGGCCTGGGCCCCCAGGGTCACGGGGGTCCAACACTCACATTGTCCTCCGACAGCTTGTCGATGGTCACCTTGGCCTCTAGCAGGTGGCTGTTGAGGGCAACAATCTCGTGGCTCAGCGCTCGCTTCTCTTCCTCATAGTGCTGGCCCTGGGGCGAGGGACAGGAGGTATGGGAAGGAGCCGATCAGGGGTCAGCCAAGGCCTGGGCCTTAAGCCCAGTTGCTCTACAGGCCTCCCGGGTGCCCTCCTGCAGTCGATAATGATGAGGTGTTTGCAAGGCCAAGGAAGGTGGGGTTAGGAGCACAGACCAGCAGGTTCAATCCACCTGTGTTCCAGCATGGATGAGCCAGACCGCCTTGGGCAAGTCACTGGCTCCCTGAGCCTCTTGCTCATCCACACCACGGGGACAGTAATGCCTACCTCCTGAGTCTGCACTCAGCACAAAGCCTGGCCCCTCTCCCTGCACCCCACCGCCTCCTGCCTTGAGCCTGTCCTCTTTCAGCCTCCGCCTGAGCTCAGAAAGGCAAGGGCCCTTGTCCAGGGTCCCAAGCCGAGCTGTCTCTGCTCTGAAAGACTCTTAAGACAGCAGGTGTTGAAGGCCCATTTGTGATTTTCAGAAACAAAATAAGCCCGGAACCTACTAGAAGGAGAGGGAACCCCTCTCGGAGATGGAAGGTGCCCGATCCCGCCCCGCCCCACCCGGACACACCCGCCATATGGGACCAGGAGGCCTCCAGCACCATTCCCCAGGCGACAGCGGGGTGGTGACCCTCACCATGCGGTACAGTTTGTCCTCCAGCTCCTGGTTGATCCTCTGCAGCGCCATGTAGTTGCTCTGAATCCTGGAACAATGGGGTGGCTGCGGTGCCAGGCCTGACCCTCCCAGGACCCCTACAGCCACCCCGGCGGGCAGGGCAGGGCTGAACACAGGCTGCCTGAGCCCGCCCACGGGTCCCACCCTGGTCTGCCTGCTCCTCCGCACTCAGCAAAGTGAGTGCGGAGGAGCCTTTCCCGGGCCAGGGTCGAGGACCCCCTGGAGATGAAAAGGGAAGGCCTCTACTCCCAAGCAACTCTGTCCGGTCCTTGCTCAGAGCCAGTTTCACTCACATTTACTCACTCGGTCTCGAGGTTAGCAGGGCAGAGACTTAGGACTGGCCGCTCGGTGGGCCCCAGACTGAGTGCTGGAGACACACGCTGGCTAAAACCGGGCTCCCCCAGGAAGAAGGGGGAAGGCGGGAGCAGGTGTTGGATGGGAATCAGGAGCCGTGTTCCCACTACATGTGGTGTGCTGGTGGAAGAGGATTTGGGACAGCGTGCGTCCTCTCGACAACCTGGGTGCGGTGTCACTGGGGCGAGGGACGGGGGTCTTCCTGAATACCCGTCCAGTCTTAGCAGTGGGGAAGCTGAGGCTGGAGGTGCTTCAAGCAGTAAGTGGCAGAGGCGAGACCTTAACCGAGGTCTGACTGCCAGGCCTAAGCTTGGTTCCCACGCAACTAGATGGGGGAGGGGTTGCTGGGGGGGGGAGAGGGGACAAACGGCCCTCCTGGCAGATCCTGGCCGGGAGAGCAGTAGCCTATGCGCCATCAGTTTAAAACATACCGAGCCAAGGGCAGACTGTGTGTTCTCTTTGCATCTTCCTAAAAGCTGGAAAGTGTGTAAGACGTAGGAAAATGTCTTCAATATGCAAAACCAAACTTAGAAAAGTTTGGTTTTTAAGGGAGTAACTACTCAGGGTCCAGCACACCTTGCCCCACACTTCGCTTGCTGCCACGCTGCTCAAGGGAACGGTCCCTAAACACCGGTTCGTCTCCGGGGCGAGACATCGCTTTTCCTATCAGGGACCCAGGGAACAGTGGCTGGGGCCCCGGTGGGCCAGGAAGGGTCTGGAGATGGCTGCACGTGTGTCATGCTGCTGTCCCGGCAAGAATATATGGGAGGAATGAACAGAGGATGGAGAGGTGCCTGGGAAGAGCCTGTCCTGCCAGGACCTACAGCCAGAGTCAAATCCCAACCCAGCCGCTCTTGGCACAAGGAGCTTGCCCTCCCTGAGCCCTGGACTTGGCGTCGGTGAACGGGGTCCACAGCCCCCCAGGGGAGGGGGGCAGGCAGGGTTCCCTGGCGGCCAACCCCGGGCCCCGCCCCCCCCCCCGCCCGTACCTGCGCAGCTTCTCAGTGACCTTCTCGAGCTCCTCCTGCGCGCGCCGCAGCTCGATCTCCAGGTAATGGCGCGTGGAGTCGAACTCGGTCTCGAGCTTCTCGAGCTTGTGCGTGGTGTAGGACAGCCGCTTGCGCAGCTCGCCCTTCTGCTCCTGCAGCGCGCTGCAACGACACGCGGCGGCGGGCCGGGCCGCGGCGCTGAGCGCGGGAAACGGAGCCCGAGCGGGCCAGCAGCCGCGCCGTGGGTGCGCAGCGTGTGCGCCCGGCCGCACGGACACACGCGAGGGCGCACGCGCGCGCGCACCGGACACCCCTACCCGGGTGGCTCCTAGCCCTTAGGGGGAGGGCGGGGGGGCGGTCAGAGAGTCGGTCCTTCAGCCTGCAGCGGCGCCCCGCCCTCAGTAAATCCCTGCGCAGTCCCCCCGGAGGAGGGACGCTGGCCCCCGAACCTGGCGAGTGTTTGGGGCGGCTTAAAGGACCCTGGTTTGAGGAGCGCTCGTCAGCCACCCCCCCCCCCGCCCCCGGCTCTCCGACTCGGGGCCGCCCTCCGGATGGCACAGTTTGCAGGGGCCCCCGCTTTGGCTCCTGCACGGCGCCCGGCTGCGGAAGCTCCTCTCCTCCCCGGATTGGCTGGGTGACCTCCGGACCCGGGAGAGGATGTGTGCCCCATGCCCAGGCAGCCTCCGCCACAGTGGCCAGCGAGCTGCGCACAGCTTCGGAAACTCTGCACAGCCCTGGCCTGCTCGCGCCACCCCCCTTCCTCCAGGAAGCTTTCCAGACCCCAGCCCCAGCTCTTGAGGCTCCATTTTCTCCACAGACCGTGGGCTCCTCTAGCACGCCAGGACGCTGAGCCCCCAGCCCCAGGAAACAGAGACACCGGATAATGGCCCACTGTCCGCACGCCCTCATTTCTACAATCAGGCCAAAGGCAGGAGGAGCAAGTATGGTGATCGCACCCAGTATGGTGACCGTGAACTCCACCCGGGCAAGGGCCACACCCTCCTGTGGACAGCCACCCCGCACCCGAATGAAGCGTGTAGATACTCCCAAACACGCACTGACCTATGCACGCCCCCCTTTCCAGGCTGAGCTCGAAGGGCCTCCTCTCTAAGAGTGTGGCCAAAAGCGCGGACTTCCTGCAGGGCAGGGGCTGCCTGGTGGGGGCGGGGCACCAGTTGTGCCTGCTGGGTGTCAGGCAACGAGCAGAACTAGGATTCCAGCTCTGTTCAGGACGCCCCTGGGCTCCAGTAACAACGAAACCCACGCAGGGTGGTGCAGCCCACAGGTGAACTCCAGCCTGGCATCACCGGGTGGCCAGGGCCGCTGCTGTCACACAGACTTGCTGCTGGTCCCCGCCGCCACGGGCCCCCAGGCTGCCCACTATCAGGCCTCAGCTTCCCCCTGGAAAGAGTGGACTGCCCCCATCTTGCCCTGGGGACACAAAGCCCAGGTTCTGGGAAAAATTCTGCCCAGAGAGGTTCCCGGGGTCCGAGGTGGGGGGAGGGGGGCAAGCGGGCCCACTGTTTGCTGGAACAAGTGCACACCCCCAGGGGACAGTCTAGAGCCAACACCCCTTTGAACGGTCATTTTTGGTGCGTTTGCTGGGGACCCGGGGAAGAGGAGTAGAGACAACACCTGCTGGAGACTGTTGCAGGGGAGTGGGAGGGGAGTCCCCAGGTGTCTCACTGAAAACCGCGGGAGGCAGGGCTTGGGAACCCTGACTCTGCCCAGAGGTGGTGTGGGACCTTGAGCAAGAGCCCATGTTCTCAGGACCTCTGAGACCCAAACCGGAGTCAGGGTTCTAGGGAGCAGGCAGTCTCCTTCTGTCTCCTGCCCAGCGTGTAAGCCACTCATGTTACCACGGGCGCACACCCAACAGATCTAAATTAAATATTCCTGGATTCCTGCCCATGTCTACATCATTTTTTAAAAATAAATAAAAATAAAAAGTTGCCTACGTTTTGAGAACCTCAGAGAAGGGTGGGGCAGGTCCCCACAGGGGTCAGACTCCAAGGAGGAAGCAGAGCCTTAATCCAGGGGAGCCCTGCAGCACAGTGCCCACGGCTGCCCACACAGGTCTGGCTGCCTCCTCCAAGCAGCATGCCGGACTGCCCCACCCTGCAGCTACAGATCCCAGGTGGTCCTTGGCCCCAGCTCTTCTCCCCAGCGGGGTGGTGAGCTTCTCAGCTTCTTAGGGACTCTCGCATGTCAGCCAGGGCCCCCCTGCAGGCACAGTGTCGGGGGAGGGGGTGGGGCAGCAGCCCCTGAAGTCAATTGTCCTGTGGGGGCTGCAGGTCCACCCACAGCCCTCTGTCACAGGGTACAGGTGGGGTCTGCACCCTCGGGAAAAGATGAGAGCGTCATCCATCTACCCGTGTGACCACTTGAGTGGCCACCCCCTGCCACCCAAAGCCAGTGACCTTCCCTCCCAACCATGGCCACCCACCTGCAACCACAGCACAGACCCTGCCCTCATGCAGACCGCCCAGTCCTGATGTGACCCAGCCACACGTCCAACCCATACCAGACCGTCCTCCCTTCCTCTCCGGCCCTGCCCCACCCCGTTCCTGGCACCTTGCAGCAGCGGGCAGGGCCAGCGCGGCCCCCACCCGGAGGAGCCTACCATCTGGAGGGAACAGGTTCCACGGTGAGACAAGCGTACAACAGGGCCGTGAGGTGGGCACCTGGTCAGGGCCTCCCCCTCACCAGGCGACCGCTTTGCTGGGCTGGCCCGTCCAAGCCTCATGGCACCCAGTGGCCTTCCAGACACAGCGGGACAGCTCTACCCCACTGACCCTCAGACACTACTCCCACCCGCCCCCAAGCCCTGCCCCGGCCAGGCCTGGGACCACAGCACCCCCAGCCCCGGACTCCCGCCCCTCCTGAGCCCCGGACACACCTCTGACCCCTCAGTCTCAGCAGAGGCCCAGGCCCACGGCTGGAGCTCCCCCGCCCCGTCGCTCCCCATCTCTGCCACTCGGGCTCCGTCCAGTCTACAGACCCCTTGGCTTTGCCCAGGCTGATCGTCAGGGCCCTGTTTGCACCCAGCCCCTCGCTGCACATCTCAGGCTGAATCTCCTCCCCGCCCGGCCCCACATGGAGCACCTCCCTGGCCCCACATGCTTCCATCCCCAGCCCCGGCCTCTCTCTGGCTCACTCCCCCACGTCCAGCCATCCACGGCCCACGGGCACCTGACACTCTGTGCATTCAATGCTGCCCCATCCCTGCCCTCTGCGGTCCCCACCCCTGAGAAGGGCACAGCTACCCTCAGTCCCCAGTCAGACTCCGCGTGGCCGTGGTGACCCCTCCTTGCCCCTTGCCCCTCCTGGTGATCAGCTACTCAGAAGCTTTGGACACGTCCCCTCCTCGGCCTGGTCCAGGAAGGTCCCGGGCTGGGCATCCGGGGGTCGGCGGTCACCTGGGGGGTGCCCCCATCGCTGCCAGGGCTGGCCCCTCCCCGGGCATCAACCTGAGCCCTGCCTGACCTCCGGCTTGGTCTCCATGTCTGTAAAGCTGGGGTGTGGGCACCCACACACGGGGCGCTAGGGCCGTCGTGTGGTCCGTGCCCTGCCCCGGCTCATCAGAACCACCGGGAGATGATGCTAGAGGCCAGGGCCGTGTGGACGTGGGCATCTGGGGAGATCGCCCGGGGCCCAGGGCCCCTGCTCCTCCCTGAGCAAGGAGTCGACTTAGGAGGCTCTGGCATCTGGAAACAGCCCTTCAACAGAAGCACAGGGAGGGTGTGGGAGTCCTTTGTGACCAGACCAGCCAGTGCCAGGCCCTCGGTAAGGGCCACGCTCCCAGGCCAGGTGTTCAGGAAACCCTACTCAGACTGTAGCCTGGTGAAGTCACCTTGCTTTGCCCTGGGTCTTGGTGAATCAAATCAGGACGTGCACCTAACCTGACGGGGTGTGTGGGGGTGAGGAGGTGTTTTCCAGTTCCTTCCTGGCCCATGGGAAGCCCCTGGACGTGTGTTCCCGCCTCCCAGAGAAGAACGATGAGCTTAGGAGGGCAGGCCTCGTCCCGGGGGCAGACCCCCCGCCTCCCGCCCCGCCTTCTACCAGGAGCCCTCCCTGGACACTCAGGGGAGGCTTGAGCCCCAGGACAGAGCCCTCAGCTAGGGCCAGGGGGTGCGGGCGGTGGGGCGTCGAGGGCCCTGGCTCTGAGAAGGATGGTGCAGGAAGGTGTGGTGAGGCCGTGCCGGGGGCCCTTCCCCATCGGTCTCGGGCGAGGTGACGCAGACAAGGGAGGGATGTCTGGAGACAGACGCAGAGACACCAAGGAACCGGGGAGACAACAGGTGTGTTACCTGTCCCAGAGCGAGGGCGAGGACCTGGCCAGCCGGCCCTGCAGGATGCGGGGCTGCCCGAGGCACGAGGGCACCCAGGGACTGCGCAGCCTGTGGGTGAAGAGGACAGAGCTGCTCAGCGTGGGGCTGGGGCGGGGGCGGGGCCGCCGTGGGCACAGACCGGGAGAGGGGGGTGTGCAACCCGCCCCCACCAGGCAGCAGGGCTCCTTCTGGTCAGCAAGGTGTCAGGGGGCGGGGGCGGGAACTGGGGGCGGGGCAAGCTGGTGCACCTGCCAGCTCTGGATGCCTGAGCCCAGCGGTGGTACTGTGTCCCACCACTGGCAGGCCTGCCTCGAGGTCTCAGCCTCAGCGAAGAGTCATGGGGGCAGGGTCCCCACAGCTCTGGGCTCCCATCTGGCAGGACCCATTGGCTGGAGATCCCAGAAGGCAAGGAGCATGGAGGGACAGTTGACGCCAGGCCCCACCTGTGCTGGGCGGCGGTGACGGGCTCACACGTCTAGACAGGGGCGAGAGGGGCAGAGGGACCTGGCAGAAGTTAGGGGTCCAGGGCAGGGCCCCCTTCACCCTCCCTTACCGAACTCTGTCTGTGGCCTGTCTGGGCCGGGCTTGGGGGGCGGGGAGCAGGATCGGCTGGATGGATGTGGGAGGGGACCCAGGTCTGCCCTGCCCTTCTTCGGTGCCAGCCTGCAGGGGGCACCAGGACATTCATCAGAGCCCCAGCCCAGTGCTCTTGGGAGCGCTCTCCCCCACTGTCCCCCGCAGTCTCTCCAGGGACCCTCGGTGGCCTCCCCGGCCCCGGAGCCAGAGCGGAGATCTGATGAGAGGATGCAGCCCCGGAAATCAGGCTTCCAAAAACCGCTTAGAGGCACGGGTATTGAGGAAGCAGTATAATCCCATTTAAAAAGATCTGTATATCGACAGCCACGAAGAGTAAGGTAGGGAAAGAAGTGTTAGTGTTGTCATGGGTGGGTGGTGGGGTTCTGGGTAATTTGAAAATTTTCTTCTATACTTTCCTAGATTTGTCATATTTCCTATAGTGATGAGAAATCAGAAAAAAAATTTACTAAGGATCAAATTTTGCACGCCTCCCCCAAAAAAAGACTTGACAGGTCGAGGGGGAATCGGGGAAGCTCTCAGCCCTGGGCTGTGCCCTGCGCACTGGTCGCCACTTCCGGGAGCCCCCGTGCCCCCATCTGTAAGATGGGCTGCCCTTGACCCTGGTCTCCTGAGCTGGGGCCCCAGCACGCTGTGGAGGATGGGTGGTGGGCAGGGCACTGGCTGGGTCTCTGGGTGGACGGGACTTTGAAATTCCAGCCCCAGTGTCCACCCTCGGCCGATGACCCCAATGCTGCCGAGTGAACAGAGCAGGGGCAGGACTGGCCGGTGCCCTTGGGAGCATCCAGAAACCGCCAGTCTGCCCTGGGTGCCTGGGCCACAGCCCATCCTGTGGGAGCCCCCTCCCGGCCCCCAGGCCGGCCTCACTCCACAGGGGGGAACTCCTGGCAGGTGAGTTTTCAGAAGAGCAGCAGGAGGCTGGGGCCTGGGGGGAAACTGAGGCCCAGGGAAGGGGCAGGGCTTGCCTGGAGGCCCAGCGAGTAGGGGGCATAGCTGTGGCTTGACCGAGACACTGCTTCTGGTCACACACAGGGCATTTTTTTTGCTGACAAGCCACTCTTGTTCTGACACAAAGGCTCATTCCCAGCCTGAGGCTGGGGAGTGCCCCTATCCTGGAGATGAGAAAACGGGAGTCCAGAGAGGCTAAGCAACTCTCCCAAGATCACACAGCAAGCCTGGGGTGAGGAGGAGATGAGACCCAGATCTTCTGGCCTCTCCTGGGGCTGCCACCCCCTCCGGGGGCATCTGTGCCAAAGGACAGGACGGCAGTGGGGAGGGAGGGCCACCCCCCCCCCACAGGCCTGCCCAAGTGTTTAAGCAGAGAGACAGCGGAGGAGGGAATTACCTGCCTCCCCCTGGGCTCTCCTGGCCGGCTGCTGGCTGCCATCAGGGCCAGTGGCTGCCCCAGTGGGGGCTGGCGTGGCAGAGCCGTGGCCCTGTCACAGCGTCACCCCTCGCTGGGCCCGCAAAGCCACTTTCCCATCCTTGCTGGCTGCAGGGCCCGGTGACTGCTGGGCGGACGGATGGACAGAGGGTTGGCCCAGGCTGCCGAAGCTGACCTGCCCTGAGCCCTGGGGCCTTGGTGATCCCGGCTCCCCTCGTGGTCAGGGGGTGTCCTGGGGGGGGCACAACTGCCACCTGACCCTGGGGGGGCAGGCAGCTGGGAGGGGCAGGGTGTCTGCGTGCTCAGGGAGCTGGTGGGGAGACCTGCCCGGCCTGCTCTGAGGGGCTGAGGGTCCGAAGGGATGGAGGTGGAGAAGCGGACACAGGGAGCGCCGGGCACTTCTCCCACCTCACCTCATCATCCGCACCCCCTCCCCGTCATCCAGGTGGAGATGGCTGTGGCCGCCTGTGGCTGCCTCTGACTAGCCCAGGGGAGGGAGGGGAGGAAGGGGCTTCCAGCCACACCTGAGGGCCCCCCCCCCCGCACACTAGGCCCCCTCCTCCTCTCCCTGCGGGGAAAGGACCGCCGCCCTCTCCGTTCCTGTCTGATCCCCCTAACGCGGCCACACTCACACCCACCCTCCAGGCAGTTGTCCACGCTCTTCCCTCTTCTGGAACGCCCTCGCTCCCCATCTCTAAGTCCCCAGACCCTCTTTTCCCTTGCGAGGCTCTGTTCAAATGCCACCTCTTCTGGGAAGCCTTCCTTGGCTCCTGCTCACTAAAGGTTCCCTCTCTTTCCTCCTCTGCCCCCATCAGACTGCGGACTGCCTCCTGGGGCCCGGGGTTTGCCCTCTCTGTTCCTCTTGATGTCCGTGGCACCGGGTGCCACGCTGGGCACGGGCAGGAAGGGCGTGTGAGCTCCGGGAGCCCTGGGGTGCCGGAAGGAAGTCCTTCGCCGCTCCGAGGTGTTGACAAGGTTACCGGGGCAGGTGCCCAGGGCGTGCTGGCTGAAGGAGCCGGGGCCTGGCGGCTCCCAGACGCTGCGAGGCTCCGGGCCCCGGTGTCCCTGCGGCGCGCCCCCACAGGACAGCCTGTCTTCTCGGCTCGTGGCGCGCGGGCCCCACCCGGCAGTCAGGCTCCAGCAACCCCAAACTGCTTGTCATTGCTCACATGCTGCAGGCAGCTTCTCAGCTTGGTGACTTTGTCCCCATGTCCCCTCTGCCCGGATCGTACGAACTCCCTCCTGCTCCGGGTTAACTCCTCCACATCCAGGGCCTGGTGTCAGGGGGGGCCCCCCCGACACCCCAGCTGCACCAGCCCCGGTGGCCCCCGAGGCAGGGATCGGTCGCCGCTCACAGGTGCGGGGCGCACTACAGGGGCTGAGTCGGCTTCCCGGGTGTCACGGAGCAGCGGAGCCTGGGGCTCCCGCACCCCCCCCGCCCCGCTCTCCAGCATTCCAGTCTTCCCCCAGCAGCCCGATGGCATGCCAGGAAGCCCAGTCACACCACGTGCCACCTCTGGTCAAAATTCCCCCACATGTGCCCAACCCAAGTCTCTGTCCCCCGGGACTCACCATTGCTCTGCCCCTCCCCGTGCCGGTCCCCTCCATCACCCTGAGCCCCTTCCTTCCCACCTCAGGGCCTTGGTCCTTGCTGCTCCCTCGGCCAGGGACATGCTTTCCCAACTCTTTCCAGGCCGCCCCTCCTCGCTCAGGCCCCGGCGCCTGGCCCAGCCTGCCGTCCCCGCCCCGTCTCACTCCTGAGAGGGCAGCACCCTGCTGCCTTGCCTGCTGCTCCGTGGGCCTCGCCCTCCCCGTTCACCTGCCGTCCTTAGCGCCAGGCCCGGCCCCTCCCAGCTAGGCCTCCAGGGGGCTCGTTGGGACCACCGTGTGAAGCCCACAGGCTGTCCCGCTGGACCCGGGAGCAGGTCCCCACAGAAGGCCTGATGCCACGTGCCCTCCCCAGGAGGAGCCAGAGACAGAGTCCCTTCAGGACCTCAGTGTCATCTCTCCTGCCTCCGTGCCCCTCATGTGCCCCAGCCTGTGCCTGTGTTCGGTGGTCCCCACTTTCCTGCCGGTCCCAGAAGAGCCTTTTCTCTGTTCCTCCGGGGAGCCCACCCTGGCTGGATCTCCCCTGAGGGGCAGGTGGGCATGAACGGTCAACCAGCACCTCCAGAGCCTTCCGAGGGCCCACCTGCCCCAGGCGCGTGTATAAACCTGCTCGTCTAGTCTCAGACTACCCAGGGGGGAGGTGTGCACCACACCCATTTTACAGCTGGGGAAGCTGACATGCATGGCAATCAAGGAGTGGGGTACCTCTGAGGTCACATGGGTTCAATGCCTGGCCAACTGCTCTTCCCCTGACGTTGGGATGACAGAATTTAATGCAAACTGCAGTGCTCTGTAGTTTTCTTGGAACCACCTCCCCCGCAGCGTGCTCACGAGGGGGCACCCCCCCCCACCGGCCCGCCGTGAGGGCCTCTGAGCGCTGCCTGTGGCTGGCAACACTGTGGCCTAGTGAGCCCTCGGCGGCTGGGCAGACTCAGGGGTGCCCAGGGCTGGGACACGGCAGGGTGACCCAGGCAAGTGAACAGAGTGGCTGCAAGTCACCCCCGAGCCTTTGCACACGCTGCCCCTCCTGCTCAGCACATCCCTTCCTGGCTCATTGGTTCTTTGGTTCACCTCCTCCAGGAAGCCCTCCCAGACCTCCTGCTGGGTCAGAAGCCCTCTTCGCTATCCTGGGCTCAGTCTTACAAAGCAGGGGGTGCTGTCTGGGTGCAGGGGTTGTGTCTGCACCTCCTACTCAGGGTCCCAGACCCTGGTGCAGGGCCAGGTACATGGCAGAGCCTGGTGGCCAGGCGCTGGAGGTGCCCACGGCCTCTGGGCAGCCCTGGTTTCAGCTGAGCTCCCAGCAGCCTTTTCAGGAAAGGCCCATGGGAGGTGGCCTGAGGACTCTGGCCCCCAAAGAGGAACAGAGGGAAGCAGCCGGGCTCTGGGGGCCTGCGGGTCACTGCTGTCCACACGGGTCCTCATCACGTCTGCATTATAGACAAAGACCCTGGCCCTGAGTGGCCACACGACCTGAAATGTCATG